CTGCGGGAGAAGGAAATATTAAGAGCAGATAGTTGTTGGTTCACAGATGGATCAAAAACACCTTCCGGTTCTGGTGCAGGTGTTTTCAGTCGCAGACCCAGGACAGAGTTATCTACCTGCTTAGGAACTCATGCGACTTTATTTCAAGCGGAAACTTATGCTATTAAATTGTGTGCGGAGAGATTGGATAAATCCAACCTCACTCACAGGTCAATAAAAATATTTTCGGACAGTCAAGCGGCGTTGGAAGCTCTTGGCTCCCACCGAGCAACGTCCAAATTGGTAGCAAACTGCCAAAAAAGACTCTCCTCGATAGGAAGACTAAACAGATTGTCTCTGGTCTGGATTCCTGGCCATACTGGCCTGGAAGGCAATGAAGCTGCTGACTATCTTACAAAGAAGGGTGCTGCAAGCGGCTTCATTGGACCAGAACCTGTCATTGGCATCGCTTCGGGCTTTGCCAAACACCTGGATGGCAAGAAGAGTTATGGACTTCTGGCAGAACCTTCCTGGAATGGCTCACTCCAAGGCGTTTATTCACCCTTCGAAGCTTGATTCCAAACAGTTGTTGGACTACAGTAGGGAGGAACTACGATATCTAACATGCCTTCTTACAGGTCACTGTCATTTGAATCATCACATGCAGAAACTTGGACTGTCGGAAGACAGTGTGTGTCGCCTCTGTCTGGAAAATGATGAAACTGCAGGGCATATATTTTGTGTCTGCCCCGCTGGGGACCGAATCAGGTTCTTTGAGTTCGGCAGATCCGTAAAGACCACTCACCATACAAACTAATCGGCTTCGTTATGAAGCTGGGTTTATTTGGCCGAGTGTGAATAGGTGTGAGCCACAATAAACCCTTATGGGTTGCGGTGGAGGGTCGAATAGACCCACTCACTTCAGACCTACCTACCTACCTCTCTTACCTAGCTGACTATCCGAATGACCTAACTCCCTTGACACCTTTCATGTTTCTTCGTAATCGAACAAAAGATGGAATACCTAACTGTGATGATATCAAACAACTTTTTGTCATCATAGACCAGTTTCGAAAATTTGCTATTTCCGGTAGACCCCCTGCAGCTACATTTCTACCATATTCCCAAAACTCGAAAAAAAGTGAAGATTAGATCAAACTATGGGAATTTGCTGGCGGCTGCGTTCCAACCACGAATCAACAGTTTTTGAATGAAAAGTGAGAATTGATTGGTTAATTACATTATTGATTGTACTGTAGTGGATGTCAAAAAAAGTTAAGTGAATTAAAGTCAATTTTCACCAATCTTTGTGGTGAAAATATAAAAAAAAATATTTTCTTGTGTTATTGTACCTTCTACCTACACTACAATGAAAATCATAAAATAGTCATAATTTTAATGGGAGGGATGAACTTGTTGATGGATTGACAGCAAATTATCAATATATATATGGCTTTAATTTTGTTAGGACTAACTGCAAATATCCCCGTTCTGCGATATTCTATCTACTTATTCTGCGGTATTCCAAAAGGACCTTTTTTTGTTCAAAGGTTTGTAATGACACCAAAACGACACGTTGTACTGATTATGGAATTTGCAAGTTTTAACGTGTAACAGTCACTGAGCCTCTTGAAATATCTTCCTACATTGATAGGTGAAGTCAAGCCAACATTTTAGTTATTCACTATCGACACCAGATGAATTTTTGTAGATCCCCGTTTACGAATTGTGAACCCCAATTTTTTTGGTCACGCCAGACGCCCTTCGAGTCTCTCGTGTCCATCTGGACCACTTTGGGAATGACTGATATAATAGACGAATTGAAATTATAACAATATGCTCTGCTGTCCAAAGAGAATCATAACTTATTGACAAAGCTGCAAAGCTGTNGTCTCTGGTCTGTATTCCTGGCCATACTGGCCTGGAAGGCAATGAGGCTGCTGACTCCCTTGCCAAGGAGGGTGCTGCTGGCAGCTTCATCGGACCAGAACCTGTCATTGACATCGCTTTAGGCTTTGCCAAACAAATATTGACCACTTGGATGGCAAGAAGAGTTATTCACCCTTCGAAGCTTGATACCAAACAGTTGTTAGACTACAGTCGTGATAAACTACGATGTCTAACAGGCGTTTTTAAAGGTCACTGTCATTTGAATCCTAATATACAGATACTCGAACTGTCGAAAGACAGTGTGTGTCGCCTCTATTTGGAAAAAGATGAAACAGCAGAGTTCGGCAGAGTCGTACTCTTACCATCTGACCTGGAAGACCACTTACTATACAAACTAATCGACTTCGTTAAGAAGCTGGGTTTATTATGTGAAACCCTTGCGGGTTTCGGTGAAGGGTCGAATAGACCCACTCACTTTGGACCTAACCTAACCTATCTGTACACATTGATTAAATTATGTATTATGTAGAGCACAACTCATATCTCTTAAAAACGAAATATCACTTGCATATACTGTTTGAAATATTGATATAGTATTTTGATTTTTTTCATTATTGAGAAGAAACTATTTCAAAAACTTTCCACAATACCCTTGGTTGTTCGTTTCAATGAAAATAATGGCAAATTAATTATTTATGTTTAGTATTCGATGTATTGAAAACATGTTGAACACGTATGAAAATATAAGTGAATCATGGAATTGATATAAACTTCTTTCAATGACTCTTGTTCTTTCAGGATACAAGTTGAAAAATCAAGCGTCTGTTGTTTCAACCATAAGTCCATATCATGATGAAACAAAAACAGAAGACAACGACGATAAAATGTTTGATGAATCAAGTCAATACAGAAAAAAAGATGAAGGAAAAAAAGGTCATAAGAGAGCTAAATTCGGAGAAAAAGCCGGACACAAAAAAGGACATGCTACTAAAGGTTTTCATAATATGTTTCATAAAGATGAGTATCATAAAGAACATAAGATCTATCTTGATCCCATCAATGGAGGTGGAGCATATTCAAATATCCAAGTCAATTAGGTAATCATGCAGATTTGAAGATGAACAAGCCTAAGAGAATGAATTAATTCATACATTTATTGAGAACCTGACTTCATAAATCCATAGTATTAGGCACAGTGAAATGATATATTTAATTCTCCTTTATCATGTCGTTACCCGTTTCGAATGAAAATCCTTCCTATCCAATTTACATGATATTACATTTCAAAGTTACAATTCAAAGACATTTGTTCAGAATAATTGTTTGAACTGCATGTGAAATGAATATTTTGCTATGTATTACTTTCTTCTTTAATGAACAAGTAATATATTTTTTGCCATTAACGGTTTTGATTTCATTTGAGCGCTCTGTCCTAGCCAGGATTATCGTGAATGTGGAGAGCAACCAAAGTAAGTTGTGAGAGGACCAACACCGGGCATCAAGAAGCATATTTTCTCCAGGCATCTTCATACGAGATATGTTAGGAATATATTTTTCTGGTCAAGCCATATCGATTTAATAACCGAAATTACTTAAACCAAAGAAATGCAAAAA